CCCAGCTTCGATGCGGTGGTGGCTGCCGCAAAAGAGACGATCAGGAAGGGATGAAGGGGATTTGGAGCCGTGGGCCCGGCTTGGAATGTATCATAGCTTTCTTTTGTGTTCGGGATGGAGTCCTGGACTACGCCGACGCGGCGCACCGAATTTCCTTTCGAGAAGAAAACAAAGATGTGAGTGCGTGGTTTCGTTTTCTTGAAACACATGTGAAGCATGAGTTGTTTGAGCTTGATTTGCCGCTTGGAGTGCTTGAGCTTGAGCTTGCTTGTGCCCGAAACCCCTTTGACACGCACCAAATCCCGAACCTTAACTTCAACCCCAACCGAACCACCGCCAGCCTATACAGGAATGGTCTTGGGCCAGGACTGGATGTCATGGCCATCGTGGCCGTCTTGGGCTTCTGCAGTCTCTTGGGTGGTCTAGTGTTTTGGGGGTTCCACATTTTGTTTGTCGAGTTTAAAAGGTGTTCCGTTGGAGAAAAGGATCGGAAGGTCTTTAGAGTGAGGCCGCGCAGGAAGGGCTGCAGTGTTAGGATCTTCTGTGGGGACCACTGGGTCCGAGTGCCTAGCTACAAGCAGTTTGTCTTGCATAGGAAGGCCCCAAAACCCCAAACACGTACACGTTGCATGTTGAGCATGTTGTTTTGCAAGGCTTGCAGTGTGCTTGGGAGTGTTTGTGCTTGGCTTGGTGTGCTTGATCTTGTTGAAAAGGGCAATGATGAGAGCCCGCCGGCGAGCAGTCCATTAGTGTGTCATCTGCGGATGATGCACAGAGGACTGCCAGTGCCGGGACAAGGGACTAAAGCTGAGCCCTTTGATTTGGAAGCTCCTCGTGGTGGGGAGCCCGCGTCTTCGTCTTCAAGGGTCCCCGAAGGGGTTCCGTCACCGTCAAGTCCCGATTACGAGCCTTCTGAGGTTTCTGAGAGACCCCCCAAGCCTCCAGAGAATCCACCGGAACCACCGGACAGTGGAGAAGAAGGATCTTTTAGGATTCCGTTGTCCTCAACCGCCTTGTATCATCATCGTGCTCAAGGCCATTTCCCTTATGATTCCAACTGTGACTCATGCTGTTCGTCGAAGGGTCGTGTCCCCGCGCGTCGCTTGCGTCGCCGTCTTCAAAAAGAGAATCAGACTGTTGGTATCGATTTTTTCTTTTTCGGCAAGCTAAGAGTCCTGTTGATGACGCACCTGGGTTCCAGGTATACTGTCAGTCTGCCCGCACCGAACCTCGAAGATCCACAATTGCTGGCTAACATCAACAGAGTGCTGCGTGAGATGGGACTGGTAGGCAAAGCCGTGACGTTTCGAATGGATCAAGAAGGATCTATCATTGCTTTGGCGGAAAGACTGAGTAGGTCCCGAAACTGCCCCCACAGCGCAACCATTGTTGATGTGGTTCCAGGATATAGGCCACAAGCCAAAGGGTCAATAGAACGACAAGTTGAATCGGTACGCCAAGGCTTCTGGGCTGTGTGGTTGGACTTGGAGCGCCAAATTGCTCTAAAGAAGTTCCCTGGTCAAGATGCAGAGCTGGGAAAGTACCAGCTTCCCTTAGGGGGTCTCTTGTGGCAAGCCTGTGTGTTCTATGTGTCGAGGTGTTACAATCTGTGGTCCTCGGGCCACGGTGACTCCACCACCAGCATTGATTTGCTGCACGAGGAAATAGTTCACCGAACTAGAACGCTTCCCTTTGGTTGTGTGGTTCAGGCAAAAGTTAGCAAGTCGAAGGCGCATCTTGCTAAATACCGGGGAGCGAAAACAGTCAAGGCTGTTTACTTAGGACCCGTGAACGCACGAGGTGGAGGGATCTTCGCGGCCCCTTTTGGTAGTACGGAGATTGACGTATTTCCGACCGGAAGAATCGTTGATGGAGCGTGCGAGGTGGGAACTGTCGAAGGCCTCGCTGTTGCGCAGTCTTTGGTTCTTGATGGTAAAGACCCAGAACGGCCTGTCTTGTATGAACCCGAAGGTGTTGATGATGGTAATGGTCCTGAAGATGAAGTCATGGAAGGTGGTGTTGGTCCTTTAAATGAAGAAGACGAAGAGATGATTGCTGACGATACCTATGCTCCCGTAAGTGCCCCGGCGGAAGAAGGTGAGGCAGGGATCCTGCCTGATGAGGGGGAAAACATGGAGGACATGGAGATTGATTGGCTTACGAATCACCTCTTGGAGTCTTTGTACCGAGGACCTGACCTTCGAGCTACCTCACAGGAGGTGGCTGACTCGTTTACCTTGAAATTCGGAGGAAGTAGGGTCAAGTGCCAGGTACCACGAAATGCGGTCTCTGAAACATCCGGAGAACAGTTGGATCCGAGCCTTTTGTATGCCTCAATGAAGTTGGAACTAGAGGAACTCGAGTCGTTCGGAGTAGGAAAGGTGATCTCTGAAGATGAGGCCCGGAAGTCCGCACGTGAGAGCGGCAGGCGGGTACTTACCAGTCGGTGGGTCAACACGGTCAAGCGTAAAGGGCTGTACCGGTCACGTCTGGTAGTAAGAGATTATGCTTCGATGGGAGGCACGACCTTGTCTGAAGGTATCTATAGCCCGACTACGAGTTTGGAGGGATTGCGGCTTCTGTTGGCACTGCTTTGTCGAAGAGGTTCAGTGTTGAGCTGTGACGTGAGCGTTGCTTTTATGCATGCAGCAGTGTCAAGGCCTGAGTACGTAGAGCTTCCGAGTAACGTGAGTATTGCGGACTCTAAAATCCCTCAAAAGGCCGGAAACAAGAAGGTGTATCTTCGATTACACAAAGCCATGAACGGACTGAGATCAGCACCGCTTTCTTGGTATAAGGAGCTGAGTTCGCACTTGGAGGAGAGCGGATTCAGTCCAAGCTTGGACCCGACGATATACCGCAGGAAGACCTCCAAGGGTCTGACGCTGGTCCTCTTTTATGTTGACGATTTGTTAATCTACTCTGAGGACCCCTCCGAAGGGAAGAAGGTTTTCGAAGATCTACAGAAACGCTACAAGCTGAAACTGACTGGTGAGCTTCATGAGAATTGTGCGGGAGAAGTATCCTTTCTAGGACGGCGAATCTTCAGGAATAAGGGAGAGAAGCGAGTCTATTTTGGACTGGACGCTAAGTATTTGGATTCCTGCTGTGAAGAGTATGGGATAACCAAACCGAACCCCAAGCTTCCGTCATTGGAGAAGCGCTACTCTGACCTCATTAAGAAAGGCCAAACCGAAAAGATCAGTCCAGCTGCTCACGAGAAGTACCGTAGGACCTTAGGGCGTCTAGCATGGGCTGCCCTCTCCAGACCAGGCGTCATCAGTCGGCCCCTGACGAGGCAGCTGAAACATGCATGAGGGATGTTCTCAAATGGGTCAAAGGTCTTCCGCATAAGGTTCAGGTGTTTCCGTCGACTCGGGAGATCCTGGAAGACGATGCGGATCCCCAAGCGGTATCGTGCTTTACGGACGCAAGCTGGAGCCTGAATTCTGTTACTGTTAGTGGTGGTGTGATTACTTGGGAAAACTGAAGCAGTCCACCACAGCCCTTTCGAGCGCCGAGAGTGAGCTTGCGGCGCTTACTGAGATAGCCAGGGAAGGTTTGTACATTGCTCTCTTAACGGAGACCATCTTGGAGGGCATCCCGAAGGACCGGGAAACGGGGTACTACCTTCTTAAGGGGTATTCGGACTCTGAAAGCGCCGTGTCCATTTCCAAAATGGGGACATTGTTGAGGAAGGTCCGCCATATTGAGTTAAGAGCCGCTTTTCTCCAGGAACTTGTCCAGCTTGGAAGATTCACGATTGAGCACATACCAGGTGCTGTCAACCCGGCAGATGCTCTAACAAAAAGCCCAACTAACGACAGTTTGGTCAGCTTGTGCGAGGCTTGTGGCCTCATTCCGGAACCAGTCCCCTGGAAAGAGAAAAATTCCGGAACCAGCGTTTCTGTCACGTTTAAAGAGCCCAATAAACCAGCAGATGAAGTCTGCGAACTGAACGTCCCTGTTTCTTGGCGAGCCGCAGCAGAGAAGGTAGCAAGGAACCAGGCTTCTTATGTTGTGGTTGAGCTCTGCTGTGAAGAAGGAAGCTCTTTGTCAAAAGCTTGCTCGAAGAATCCTCGTATCGCGTATTTTGGAGTGACGAAGCAAGTGGATCTGTTAAGTGAAAACGGATACCAGCTTCTCAAAGAAGTCTTTAGCGTGTTACTTCATGAAGGGGTGAAGGTGTATGCGCACTTGTCTACGCCGTGTTCGGCTGGAAAAGGTGGACAGTCCTACGCCAGGTGGCGGGAGTCTCTTTTGGTCCACAAGAGGTCTTGGCGAAGAATTTGGAACCTTCTCCGTCCGTACGCGAACTGTCCGCGTCTTCTTCTTTCTCACGAGTGGCCAGCTAGATCTGACTTGTGGAATGAAACGGTCTTTAGGTCTGTAGGTCAACGTCTTGGTCTTGCGAAGGGGTGTGTCGTCGATCGCTGTTGCTTCGAGAAAGGTTCTGAAAGAGCCTGGCAGAGATGGTGGTTTTGTAGTAACTCTTCGAATTTCATCAACAGTATGGCTAGGAACCGCTGTGATGAGAGCCACCAACACATCCACCTTCAGCTCCCGGCGTCAGGTGTGTACCCTGAGCTGTTAGGAGAAGAAATGCTGAAGGGTGCGAGACGAGCTATGGAAGAAGACAGGACTTGAGGACGCAACTGTTGCAGGCATGAGGGGGTGTGAAAGTTTTTGACTACACGCCCCGAATAAGAGGCCCCCAACGCATGCCCTTAAACTCAATAGAGCAGCCCAGGGTACGCCGTCAGTCGCCACCTTCTTTGGGGGCCCAAGAAAAGGATAGTAATTTCCAGGATTGAACAATGTGAAATCTGCATTTTGTAATGTCTTGCGTTAAATTACCCTTTCAGTACCTTTGCACCTGCCTGATTTCCACTTGCCCAGCCCTCACCTCTCGTATTGAGTAAGATCCCCACACTGCAGCCGCTGGTCTCAAACACAGGTAGCAGCCGTAGGGCAGTTTAGCTACCTTGGAACCTGTAGATATGGGATGGGGCCAGGGCAAAGGAAAGGGGGCGCAGCCTCCTCAAGGCAAAGGCAAAGGTAAAGGGGGGGGGAGCCAACCTCCCGGAGCAGGCAAAGGGGGCCATCCTCCTGGAGGTAAAGGCGAGATCCCCTTCAAAAGACCTTCCAAGAAGGACAGAGATCGCCTTAAGCAGCTGGGTTTGTGGCCACCTCCCAAGGGGCAAGGCAAGAACGCCCGAACAGGCCCACACCCGGCAGAGGAAAGGGGGCACGCCAGACCACCCACACCTCCCCCCGTCAGAAGGGGAGCTCCAGCAGAAAGAAGTCCCTCAACGAGCCGCAGCCGCACACCGCGCCAAGAGGGGACTGATGCAGAAGCACCAGCTGTGGAGTCCCCCTCGCAATCTTCGCACTCGACGGAGCTTCGACGAGCCTCACCCGACCAACCGCGGCACCAACCTGAGTCGAGCCCAACCCCACCTGCCGAGGGGGGAGAGGCAGACACCAACCCAATGCCAGTCAAACAGGAGTCAACCGAGGAGTTTAGCTCAGAAGAGTCGTCTGGAGAGGCGGCACCTCTTCCACCTTGGCCTCTCCTGGCAGACAGCCTCCACCTCACGGTTGACCGGGTTCGCCGTAGCAACAACCGTGACTTCTGGCTGTCTAACCTCGGCCCAACCTTGTGGTTGGATTGCTTCCCAACCTTCAAGGGTTCCAACCTCCTGGGCATAGGGGGAACGCGAGCAGTGTACACCTCACCCACCTCAGACGGCAAGGTGTGGAAGATTGCTCTCAAAGCAGAGCCCAGCCACCATGGGATTGAGCAAACAATTGGGCAACGGCTCCCAGGTTTATGTGCCACTCAAACCAGGATGGTGGGGACGGGGCAGCTCACCATCCGCGACTTTAAGACCCTGGAGATTGAGGTCTTGGAGGTTGAGCGTCTGACGCTGTTGCCTGACCAGCCTTCCAACCTCCAGGTCTTGCACATGTTCATGGTCCTCACAGCCCTAGTGGGTGCCGGCATTTGGGTCAGGGACCTGAACAGAAAGAATTGGGGGGTGCGTCCCCCAATCCACATGGGCCCGATCAAGGGCCCGCGGAAATCGTGGCCCTAGATTGTGGGGGTTGGGCATTCCAAGATGCCCCGCTTGGTTTTCCCCAACGCGTGCGCATTGCCTGGTGGTGGGGATGGATCGAAGCCACCACCCCCGAGGTAGCAGCGTGGGCCAGAGGCGTCGTCCGCACGGACCATGCTAGCCCGCGGCGACTCGCCATCGCCTTCAGGCAGCGCCTCCTTGCCACAGATGGGGGGAAGGAGGTTCTTGGGACTTTGGTCCGTCAAGGGGTCATCATCCCTAGTCCCTCGCTGAACCTGTGCCTCCCGATGACGGTCAATGGAGTCAACAGCAGCGGGGACTGGTGCTTCGCCTCAATTGAAGACCTTGAGGCGTAAACCCACCGGGAAGGGGGGCTAGACCCCACCTGTGCACACCACGAGCGGGGGCCTACGCAGCACCCACCGCTACACCTACCCACCCGAAAAGGGGGGAGCAGGGCACCTCTTGCAGAGCCTGTACTTGTACAGTCCTGAGTAGTCCAGCTCACCTCCAAAGAGAGGAGTAGGGTAGCGGCAGCTTTCTTTAGGCCCTCGTCCACTCTGCAGTGGTGTTTGCGCAACTTCCCGGCAGGGTTACCCCAAGCCAGCCCGGAATGGCCTCTGCCTGTTTTCACTCACCCACCTTGGGGAGTATGGGCCTACACAACAACCACCGCCACACTTACCCACCCTTTAGGGGGGAGAAAGCAGGGCACCTCTTGAAGGGCTCGTAGGGCAACGGCCCAAAGAGGTCTTGAGCAAACCCTCCAAAGTGAGGAGTAAGTGTGGTAGAAGTTTTAGGCTCCTCCACCAAAGGTGGAAAACCCAAGGACAGTTTTAGGAATTGTCGTTTCGGCGGCCGCGCCTCGCGCTCCGAGAAGAAAGTTTTTGACTTCCTTGTGAGTGCCTTTACAGTTGACAGGATGTCTTGCACATGTGACATGAACCACGAGTTTGCATTGCATGAGTTGAGAACTGTGCTTGAACCGTTTGTTTGGTGTTAGCAGAAGCAGGCATGGACATAGCATGTTTGGAGCTTGGCTTGAAAGTGTTTCTTGCTTTGAGCTTGACATGAGATGCTTGGAGTGTGCATGATGAGCAGAGAAGCACTCGAGATGCTTTAGGAGCATCCTTGAAGAAGTGCGTGTTGCTCTGAGTTTGCTCTTCAAACCTTGGCCGCCGACCCTCGCTTCGCTCGTGTCGTCGTACTGAGGTTCGAGCAGAGTGGCTGTGCACTTGTATGCTTGTTTTGCTGAAGCACTGAAGTCCTGAGAAGCACTAGGACGTTTGCATGTGTTCCTCCTTTGTTTAACAAAGTTGAGATGGAATTCACGAAAGTGAAGCTGCGCTGACTCTGCGAGAGACTTGCCGAACACCTCTGGGTGTTTTGGCTCAAGTGTGGAGTGAAAAAGAGCTCTGCGTTTTTCACAACGGGCCCACAATACGAGGACCGGCGCCGAGCAAGGTCGCAGGACATACAGGCTGCGAGGTCGGTCGCGCCAAGGCTGGCGCTCCCGATACCTCCGCCACCTCCAGTTCCGCAGCCCGAACGCACGCCCGAAACCCCAATTCCGTGGAGTGGCGCGCCGTCGCCTGCATTCATGGAACTTATCAGGCGCCGCCGAGATCGCCAAGAGCGCGATCGTTCTCGCTCCCCGTCTCCCTGAAAGGGAGTACGGAGAAGCCCAACCCAATCCTTGCAGCTTTGTCCCAAGACGAGAGAAAAGAGCCCGATACGCGACAGCCACAACAGCAGTTTGAGTTAGTCACTGAAGAAGGAATTATTGGGGACAATGTGCGTAGTAAACAGGCAGAGCTTCAGCACCACATGCAGGGACACGTACCATACATGTCTGACTGTGAGTTTTGCCAGCGCACTAGAGGGACCACTCCAGCCCGAAAGCGTAGCGACCTGAACCCGAGAGAGTTTCAGCTTGACCAGTGCTTCTTTCGCAAGCTTGCATTCATCGTACTGGTTCATACCATGAGCTTTGCGATTGCAGTTTGCTTTAGACCTGAGGGAGAGAGCGCAGCAACAACAGCAGAACATTTGCATCCCTGGGTCAGGCACTTTGGTGTGAAACAACCACATTTCATGTCTGATGCAGAGGGACTCACGAAGAACATGAGCTTGAGTTGCGTGAACATGGCGTTGTTTTGGATGCTGAGTGTGCGGATGTTTTCGACCTTTTGTTTCAATACGCAGCACACACGCACAACAGGTTTTCAGTTTCTGTAGGGTCGACCATGACACCCATGCAGAAGATCCGCGGAGATCGCGTGCGACCGCAAGTCACGTATCCGTTCGGTGCGGTAGCATACGCTAAGATAACGCGGGCTAGAAGACCTGACGCGGATGCCAAGTATGCTCGAGGGATCTACTTGGGACCAGTGCTTGGGAGCACAGGTCATGCCATGGAAATCCGCTTGGATAGTGGGGAGACGAAACGGGTGATCGCGCCCGGACTCAAATTGCTCTACCCGTTGCGTTTCGACGCAAATCTTCTGCCCGGTGCAAAGGCCCTAGATGGCTTCGTGCCCCCGCCTGAAGCACCGAAGACCAAAGAGCTGTTTCTCCCATATGTTCCAGGTGGAGGTCCTCCCATAGACTGGGTGAGACATGGTGTTACACCCAAGTGCCCCGGATGCCAGGAAGGCGTCAGCTCGAGCAGGCATTCCCAAAAGTGTGTGAAGAGATACCAAAAATGGTTGCGTGATTCCATCGATGATGCTCTGGAGGCATTAGATGAAGGACCGAAGGTCGACCGAAGACCTGAGGAGCTAATTGGAGAAGACCCATACGATGATGACGAGCAAATGAAGCCGAACAAGCGAACACGCTTTGGAGGAGAGGAGGTCCGAGCGTTTGATCCTGAGCAAGCAGGAGTCGGAGACCTAGAGATCCCGGAGATGTCAATGCCGGATGCTGACTGGAATGTGTCCGAGTACCAGCCGTCCGAGGCTGAGGATGACGATATGGGAGAAGCTCCAGAGATGGGAGACGCTCCAGAGCATCCCCAGACATTCCATGAGGGGGTCCCAGTCCGATACCTGGAGGAATTGCTCGAGAACGCCCACTACACACCACAACCACTCTCTTGTTGTGACCACTACGACGTCGAAGCAGCATGTCACCTACTGGTTGGTCGGTCGAGCGTGGAGAAGTTCCCATATGTTTGCTTGAACACAACAACACAACAACAGCACCACAAACAACAACAGTCGGTCGAGCGTGAAGCAGTTGAGTTGTTGAATCTCCAAGACCACCCTTGTGTATGTTCTTCAGTTAAAGAGAAAAAGGAAGATGAGTCCGCAGGGACGTACATGAGAATCCAAGACAGGACTCTCTGGGTGAATCGACCTAGAGCCAGCTACGATGACCTGGAAGGTTTTCAGCTGGACCCTGAAGAGACATGGCAAGGAATCAAGAAAGAGGTGAATGCGCTCGATAGTCTGAAAGTTGGTTATGCAAGATCAAAGAGCGAGATAGATGAGTACCGCAAAGCCAACCCAAACTGTCGGACGGTCAAGTCCCGATGGGTCCTCACTCAGAAGGCCCCAGGACTAGTCCGAGCAAGGATAGTCGCTAAGGATTTTGCTCATGGCCGACCATCCGCACTCGATTTGGGGTTGAGTTCTAATACTGCGTCGGTGGAAGCCCTCAAGATCGTCCTTGCACGGGCGGCGAAGGGAAAGATGCGGGCTTACGGCCTCGACATATCCACCGCGTTTCTCTTTGCGCAGGTAGTGGAACCCACCATTATCGAGTTGCCAAGCACATTCGCGCTCGAGAGCGGCGAAACCGCGTACTTGATACTAGAGAAAGCGCTCTACGGTTTGCGTTCCGCCAGCCTTAGCTGGCAGCGACACCTGAACAGGATCGTATCTGCACTAGGCTTACAAGCGAGTCCGCTTGAACCGACGCTTTTCAGCGGATGGGTCAACCTTGAATCCGGATGGGAGTATATCATCATGTTAGCGTACGTGGATGATTTGCTCATTGTGTCTTCTACCGAGAAAGGGTTCGAGTACGTCCACGAAGCCCTGAGTTCAGTCTTGAAAGTCAAAGTGACAGGGAGGCTGATCGAAGATGGGCAGATGGAATTCCTCGGCCGTTTAATCCGTTGGGATGGACGACAAATCATGCTTGGGGTGAAGCCTGAGTATGTGAAGTCGGTCTTTACATCTTTCGGATGGGACATATCCACCGCGAAAGCATCCTTGACGACACCCGACATCAGGAGTATGTACGATGAGGAGAGTGTTGAAGAGCCTTCGAAGGAGCTGTCGAGTGAGGCCGCCTCACGATTCCGAAGTTGCCTAGGGAAGATAGGATGGCTCTGTCAAACTCGCTCAGATATAACGTATTTTCACTCCATGTTGTCACGCGGACAAAGCACGCCACGGCAAGTGCATGAAGATGCACTTCGCAAGTTCCTGCGATGGTTAGCAGCGTTTCCGCTGTTAGATCAAATCTTCCCGCTCGGAGATGGCAAGACCAATGAGGGGGAGAATGCCAGCCTGGTAGCCTATTGCGACAGCAATTGGGGCAGCGAGATGAGCGTAGCCCGGAAGAGCACCAGTGGCGGAGTGATCTACATCGCAGTGGACGGTCTGTGGTACTGCATAAAGGGGTACAGCCGCCTGCAGAGCGTCGTGGCACTCAGCTCAGCAGAGGCAGAGTTGTTTGCCATCGCCGAGGCAGCGAAAGAGGTGGCAGGACTTGCGCAATTGACGGCGCATATCTGGGGCACCCTCCAGAAACCCCACCGCGTGTACACTGACTCTGCCTCAGCTAGGCAAATTGCCAGCATGGAGGGGCTACTCAGGCGCATGCGGCATATAGACTTGAGGTTGTGCTTTATCCAAGACCGTGTCCATAGCGGCGAGTTGGCAGTAGAGGGAGTAGCCGGAACCGAGAATGTGAGCGATCTTCTCACAAAGAATTTAAATCGCCTCCAAACAGCAAAGCATACAGCAACCCTCGGACTAGAAGATGTGACCAGCATCGATTTCCGAGAGGTCCCGGCAGTCAGGTCTTGCTTGTTGCTGTCTGGAGTGCTGGATTCGATACTCGGGCCGGACGACCTCGAATATGAAGCTTTCTGTCGGCTATGCGAACTCGAGACTGAATATTCAACTTTGCTGATCGAGTTTTGCACGAGTTCACGTTCGAATCTGTACCTGCAAGGAAGTGTGCACCAAGTATTCGTCTTGCCAATTACTCAAGGGGTTGACGGGACCTCGAATGACACCGTGGAGCGGGTCATGTCTGCAATGAATGTTGCAAGAGAATGGGGGATGAAGGTTGTTTTCTGGAGCAGCACTCCTTGTACCGGAGGTAGCCCGTACCAACG